ATCAGGATGACCCTGGCTGCATGCTGCATGAAGTGCTGTGTTACCATTGCTATCTGGCATGTCTACTAATTCTACACGTGGTTTATTGTAGCTTGGACTATCCAATAGATATTCTACTATTTCCAAGTGACCCTCTTGAGCTGACAGATAAAGTGGAGTACGACCAGAAGCATCAGTGATATCAGGATTACAGTAACCACCATCAATGAAAAACCTCAATATATCCAAAGACCCTCCCTTTGCCGATATGTGCATTACGGTAAACCCTTTATCGTCCAGTATAGAAATGTTGCAGTTTTTACTGTTGAGGTAACGAATGATCGGAAGGTTTTTAGAGAAAGCTGCAATAAGTAGTGGAGTACGTCCAAAAGAGTCGGTCATATCAAGAGATAATGGTGAATGGTCTATAATGTACTTGACTATACTCAATGATCCTTCTTCACAGGCTACATGAACTGGAGCCATTCCATTGTAATCTTTAATAGTGAGATCCAACTGATGCTCCTCCACTAGATGTTTGAGTATAGGAAGAGAACGACTTTTACATGATAAATGAAGAACTGTTGATCCATTTGAAGTTTTAGCTGATAGGTCACACTGAGGAAAACTAGTGAGGTAGAGAACTATAGCAACATGTCCTTCCTGACATGCTATGTGAAGGAGTGTAGATTGAGTATCATCAGTAGGATCAGTGGCATTAATATCAAATGAATAATTGTTTAATAAATGCTTTAAACAATACAAACGGTTGTATTGTGCAACATAAAATGGTAATACACCATTCTTAAATGAGGCTACATTGATATGATACTCTTGTCTGAGCCATTCTAGTATATGAACACGTCTATATGCCACTGCAACTTCTGGTGATGATGCACTGCTGAATATTCTAGGATTAAGGTTGTATTGTTTTATTAATAATTTTAAAAGATCAAGATTACCAGAGGTACATGCCCATGTGACACAAGTGTAGCCATGCTTATCTTCAGTAGTGACATCACATTTCATTACATCAATTAGAAATGTCACTAGTTGTATTACACCACTAATACAGGCATCATGAATTGGTAGAGTATCATTATCATCAGTAGAATGTAATAGACTAGTATATTGTGGATAATTATTAATTATATATTTAATAAATGAAAAATGACCATTCAATGTAGAATAATGAAACACATTCCTCTTGTATGCTCCACCTACTTTATCCAAATCACATCCACAATCTTTTACTAAATACTCTAAGACATCAATAGCACCAACTTGAGCTGCACAATGAACTGCTTGCATACTGTCACCAGCTTTAACTTGAGGATCTAGTTTATAATCATTAACTAATAATTTAATTAATGATAGTTTAGTACTACGCACTGCTTGAAGTAATGCAAATGATGTGAGAGGCAATTGATGGTTATTAATGAGGTATTGGACTAGCTTCATGTTACCATTCTCAGCACTATGAGTCAATGCATTCCATTTCTTATTATCTGTTATGTTAATGTCACTGTCTTGTACTTCAATGAGATATTGACTGAGATCAACATTACCATGACGACATGAATAATGAAGAGGTGTTCTACCCTCATTACAGGTTATATTAATATCAATGTCAGTAGTATTCATAATACATTCTACTGCATTGATACTACCTGACATACAAGCTAATGCTAATGGTACTACACCTTTGTAGTCTGGTTGACTGGCATTCAACCTATACTCAGATACAGTATAACTGAGTAGAGTAGGTGAACCTGATAAAGCAGCATAATGTACTGCAAACCGACCCT